GCATGGTTACAAACAGAGTATTGTTCTGACAGAACAATTGATCAGTTCATGAAGACAGAATGCTCCATCAAATTGACAAGGCAGGATGGTCTCCTGACTGGATCATGAGACAGGAGTGGAGCATCCCCTTGCAAAAATGTTTCATAAGCACACATTAATTTTATAATCATCATTGAATAAACCTGACAGTTATTATCAATTTGCCTTATTAAAGGTCCCGGTCATATGTCCTTGCCTTTCATGGTTTGAACAAGGATGTTCTTAGTAGTAATTTTGTCTGGTCTGTTCCTGTTTGGCTGTGACTCCATCCTGGAGAGAAATATCAGCTGAGCTGCTGCTGTCGAACACCTTTGTTTATGGATTTTCGAGATGGGCCTGTTTTCCAGTGTAGTCCTGTTTCTCTGACTGTGACTGGCTGGATGTGCTCTCTTCATCCTCTGACATGAGAGTTGGCTCAGAGCTCGTCTGCCTGGCCGTGTGTTTCCTGGATGGGGCTGCCTTTTACAGTTGCCTTTTCAACGAGTCGATGCAATCAACTGGTTTTCCTTAGATAGAAAACTTTGAAAGAATTTGATGATCAGATTCAATTGTAAAGTGCCTTGAGATGACTTTTAGTGAATTGGCGCTATATAAATAAATTGAATTGAACTGAATTCTTGTCAAATCAACATCAGTGGCTTGAGGTCATACTTTTACACAGGTTTAATAAGTGGAACAACTAAAATAATTTATATATGGAACAAAAAATGCGGTGGTTTTAAGATGACATTGTTTTTATTATATTGGTGGTAATATCCCTGAATGAAACAAAGAAATAGAAATGGCACTCTATTAAATTTAGCTGTGTGTTGACACATGTGTAATACATTAAACACAAATATAACTTTCAGTTTTATGCTGAGATGGTAAATTTTTTTATTTTCTGCATAACACTCAAACTTTTGTTATAATCATGTGTATTTAGTATATTCAGCAAACATTTTTTTTTCCTTTCTCTTAACAATAATATGCCTACTTGTCAGATTAACATAAAAACTCTCAGTTCTTATAACTGCAACATTTTTATCTTAGAAATCAAGAATAATATAATATGTTAATGGTTCAATCTATCAGTAGTTATTTGGCCTTAAGCTAATGATAGTATCTCACCTTTATATCTTATAGCGTTATATACTGATTAAAAATTCCTAAGTTGTAGGAACACCAAAAATTATATTAAATTAAGAATGCAGGCATGTTTGTGTCAAGTGAACTTAAAATATTTATGTAATTTCAACAGTCTTCATCGTTTGTGTCGACCCCCCAGTAACATTTTATGTTGTGAAAGAATTGGGGCTTAAAGTGCATACGGGTCCTACCTTTTACAATGAGACAGCCATTAATTCTAATTTTAAATTAAGTTGAGTAGCTCTTTCTTTGAATCTAGAAGGTTTTTTTTATTTTTTTTTTTACATGTAGTCGTCAACTTCCGGGACCAGGTCACGGGGGCAGCATGGCTCAGCATAAACGCCCACACTTCCCCTTCGCAGACACCTCCTCCAGCTCTGCTGGGAGAAGGCCAAAGCACTCCCCGGCCAGCAGAGGGACATGGTCCTTCCAGCATGTCCTGGAT